AGTGGGCATAGCCCCACTAGGGGTAAAGGAACAATAATATTAATAAAGCAAGGTGAACATGAGTATAATGTAAAACCTCAATGTTTGTGTTTTCAAACATTATTCAAAACTCATTACTAAAGATACTCTTATGGGCATAAAACTAAATAGTCTTTGTATAATCATTACTTTGGTCAACCAGTCATATAAATTTGACAAATTAGTTAAATCATCCTGTATCACCAAAGAATTACTATATGTTAGGAGCATATACGTCCGTGTTTGATCACATATCATAATTCATATATCACCATCTCCAAATTAGTGAATTACTAGCCTTAAGCAGAAAATGGGTGGGTTGTGCAGTTGCTGGATTTGGACATGTGGATTTGTAATGATGGGCTGTTTGTGGGCCGGCTTCGTAACTGGTCTTGACGTTGGGTTTCCGAAAATCCAAGATTTCTTTTATTTATTTATTTTTGTGCTTATTACTCTGATTTTCTTGTCCTTGTTCATTTTCATCGTGGGACCAAGATCATCCTCACATCCTACTCCATTGGATGTATGTATGACTATGGCGTTTTACATTTTTTTTTCCCCAAGTCATGTTTAAATAAAAAAAAATATATATATATATATATTTTCAATCCACATTTTTGCATAGGAATTAAGGGGGGAAAGTATCGTTTATAACTAGATATTTACTGCTAAAAGTATTTATTTGTTTAATTAAAATTCATAAGCAAGCAAGATCATTGGTTTTTTTACTTGAAAAATTAAATGTGAAACATTTATAGAACTTACCTACAGTTTCAAAAACCATTCCAACGTTTGGCTCCAATATATTTTGTGTTGTCTCAATGTCCTGCCATTAACAATGTAATGTGATCAGAATATTTTATCAAACCAAATAAATTTTGAGAGGTACACTAATCTGTTGGTGCTACGATGATTATATATACATACATACATATGAGTTTGTGTGTGTGTGTCAAGACCAATTTTGCATTGATAAAACAAAGAAGACATGTACGTGCAATCTAATTTTTGCAAAACTTAAATGTATAAGGCAAATATTATTGAAAATAGATCCGAATATTTTGACACGGATTTTTTAAAGGAAAAAACATATTATATTTTCAGGTGTAATGAAGTAATTTACATCTGATTAAGAACTTCTACTATTCCATAAGTATGTGAACTGAAAACTTTCTTTCTTTTTTTTTTCAAAAANTTATTATTATTATTATTATTATTATTATTATTATTATTATTATTATTATTATTATTATTATTATTATTATTATTATTATTATTATTATTATTATTATTATTATTATTATTATTGCATTCTACAATGTAGTGTTGGGGAACCGTGATTATCAAGGGAATACCGAGGCCCAGTTGAGTCAAGCACTCAGGAAAATCGACAAACGATGGATTTGCAAAAGGAGTTTCATCGTTCAAGCAGGTACTACTGATTTTATTATCACCTGCCATTTTAAAAAAAAATGCAACCATACACATAACTGAAAATAGCATTACATATGTAGCTACTCATTTTATTATCACCCGCCATTTAAAAAAAAAAAGCAGATAATAATATCACATCTAGTGTATAAAATATTCCATCTTCGTCTAATATGCACTTTTAACGAGTTTTTAATTTCCACTGGGTAAGGTATCGCGGATATCGTTTTCATTGACACCACTCCATTCGTCTACACATACTTTAACAACTCTAAGGAACAGAGATTTGATTGGAGTGGTATAATGCCAAGGGATGACTATCTCTCATCCGAAGATAGTAGTTGGACACCACACAATTATGAGCATTGGGTCTCATGGTGACACTCAGGAAATTGTTGATCAAGTTCTCTCCATTCTTGAGGTACAATAAAATTAAATAAGGCATATATGATTAATTATACATTACCTTAATTTTGGCTATAGCAAATGCAGAGATGAAATATAACCACTTTTGTGAAAGTATGATAATAGTTATTTTATCCTGTGTAATGACACAATTACCCTTACTACAAAATTTAGAATTTTTAATGTATAATTTCTGACACTCATAAATTGTTTGTAAAATTCCAAAAATCAATTGTAAAATTCAAGACATTGTTTATATGTTCCAGAAACCATTTCTAGAATCTCGGAATTAATTATATAATTCAAAATATTATTTATATGTTCTAGAAAGCACTAAAAATCATTTCTATAAATCTAGAAATTGTTATGAGTGAAAAAAGATTGAAGATATTGTTTCGCTAATTTCACATGGAAAAATAGCTATTATTCATACTTTCACAAAAAGGGCTATATTTCATTTTTACAAAATGAGAAGACTACTTACTAATATTACCACCTAATTATAATATGTTGTTTCAAGCTAATCATGAAAAACACCTTATCTTTCAAAATTGTAATTATCGAAACTACTTGTAATAAAACCAGCTATCTTTCTTATTTTAAGGGGAAAAAAAAAGACTATCTCGAAAGACTGGAAATGTAGAATTTTGATAATTGTCATCGTTGGCTATCTCCAGGCAAACAAGGTAGATTTGTACATTAATGGACATGACCATTGCTTGGAGCACCTTAGCAACCAAAACGGGTACAATATGAAATTCAACAATTATTTTTCAGACATATACAGTTGAATAATTCAGGAGTGGTGTTTCTATGCAGGTCGATGCAATTCTTGACGAGCGGCGGAGGTTCAAAGGCATGGAAAAACAAGATTCACTATGAGAACCATAGTGAGACTACACACTTCTATTATGATGGGCAAGGCTTCATCTCAGTGGAGCTTCTACGGGAAAAGGCAAACATAACCTTTTTTGATGTAATGGGAAAGCCATTGTATGTTATAACAATAAAGCCATAGTTCATAGGAAACACAATATTTAAAAACAGGACTTTTTTGAAATTTATTTTATGTGTAATAAATAAGTATGAGATACCATAGACATCACTAATGCGATAATATCCTATTAGAGCAAAAACAATGTCCACTTGCTTAATTTTTATTCTACTTCTATTGAGAGAGAGAGAGAGAGAGNAAGTTGAAAACAAACAAGAACAAAAAAAAAAAAGAAGTAGATGGTAATTTGTTCATATCAAAATGATTTGTGATAAATGTGGATCTATCTCGAAATGGGAAAAGGAGAACTACTTTCTCAACAATTAGAATAAAGGGGGTTTGAAATTTCAATAATTCTTGAGATCCAAACATTGGTGCTTAATTATACAAACAACATTATTGAATATTTAATGTAATAAGCCAACAAAGTGTACCAGCCAATAACAATAATATCCATCCATTTCCCAACCCACACAAGCATATAAAGGGATACCAGAGTATTATGGCAAAATCTCATGTTAAATATTCTAGCCACAATGGATGCTTCACAAAGAGATTGTTTTCTTATATACTACCTTTGTTGATGGCTTGTCTTTCTCTCTAAGCAATTTAAATGTTACATCCCGACTTGCTCAGATTAGGGTGGGCAACAAAAGATAAAAACCGTGTTAGCTTTTTGGCAGTGGGAGACTGTGGAAGATAGGGAAATTACAACCAATCTGTTATTGCCCATCGGGTAAAAAATTCACCCTTTATTCTATGTCGTGAATTTTATGGATAACTATCAAAACTAACATCAATTTATAAATTTTACATTTATTTGTTTTGTCTTTTACGATTTGCATCTCAATAGCCCTCTCTCTAGGGGAGCATTTGTAATTTAAAAAAATATGACTAGAGATGTCAATCCTAACTTTTATTTATTTTATTTTTGTTCTTTAAAAAAAAAAAGATCTACCTTGAAAATGATCCATTGAGATATTTCTCCAATACAATCATTCTTGTTAATCCATAAGTCCAAATATTCTAATTTCTAAGCATGCTTGGATACAAGTATTTACAAAAAAAAAATTCAATCACATTTTTTAATTCAAATCTAACCCCACTATCTTCAATATTATCGATATAATTAAATAATAATTATCAATACAATTAAATAATATCAATCAATCATTTTTACACATTACGTCATCTTTAATTCAATATTCATTCACTCGCATAATTTTAACTAACTATCGCTTCACATCATCTCTCTCTTACTTTTACATCAAATCTACTTTAATTATTTTATTTTAAATATTATTATAATATAAACTCAAAATCACACTAACTAATTATACCACCTTTTTCAAAATTAACCAAACAAAACCAAAAAATCAAAACAAAACAAAAAATTCTTATATCCAAGTTTCTAATCGATCATGTTTGTTTTGGTCTCTCATTCCATGTCTTGTGATCGAATATGCTTATTCATAATATTTCTCATAAAAGTATGAGAGATGGAAAAATTCATCTATAAAATAAACATTAACACACACACATACAAGAAGTTTCATATCAGAAGTAGCACTAACTTTCCCGTCAGATTCTAAATTTATCTATGATGTGTCTAACCATGCATATTACTGATCACTACGCATTGACTTTGTAGTCTCAACTGGTGACAATTTTTACAGTCACGGTTTGAATGGGGTCAATGACACTGCTTTTACCGAATCTTTCTTTAAGATATATACGGCAAGAAGCCTCCAGAGACCATGGTATGCAAGTAAGTACATCAATGAATATGAATGAGAACTCTATATTCATCTTTTTATTATAATAACTAGTACAACACCCGTGTATTACACGGGTGCTTGCCAAAAAAAAAATTTCTTAAATTTAAAATAAGAAAAAGTGGTTGAAAATTTAAATACTTTTTATAAGAAAATATATATTATTATATATTTTAGTATGACATTTGTTACTTGTGCGACTTACCTGTGTTATATTATAATAATTTTTCTAACTTATAACATATAATTACATTAAACATATAATTGAGAAAAATGTTATTTTTCTAATTAATTTTAATAAATAAGTTTATTATTATTATTATAAAGATAATATATAATTTATTTACTTTATATATACAATATAGATGTCAAATCGAAGAACATCAAAGGATGATTAATTTGATATATTATATATGTAAAACCGATAAGAAATACAAAAATCATCAACTTTTAAAATACATTTACAATTCAATGGTTATAACAGGAAATGATATTAAAATACAATTTATTCATCTAAAATGATTATAAATAAATCAACATATTTATGGTAATCCGAACCTAATTATTTTTAAATTGAAATTAAATTAAAATCTATCCAAACCTAATAACGAAGCATGGAATTTTGACACCTAGGATCCCGAAGCATGCGAGCCTGCTATTTAGACTCAGCATATTCGGAAATTATATATAAGGGGGATGTTTTATAATGTTAGTACCTTAAATCTATTTTCCTTACGATGTAGTACTGGGGAATCATGATTATCATGGGAATACTGAGGCACAGTTGAGCCCATTGCTAAAGAAACGAGACCGTCGATGGAACTGAAAGCAGGTCTTACATTGTTCAAGCTGGTAGTATTCACTAAGCCTTTTAGCTGTTATGTTTAATTTGTTAACAAATCAATCAGGGAAAAATGATAAATTTTCTCAAGTCTTTAAGAAAAAATTTCCAGTACAGTATTATCAACGCTTTATCTTGATTTCTTCCAAGTGCCAGATCTAATAAACACTTTTAAAGATCAAGTCAGTCGCTACATTAACAAACTATAAACAAGCTGAATGAATATGTTCTGTAACTATGTAATTGGAATTCCAAAAATGTATATGTTCACAAACCTACTCATGTGAACCAGTTAAGATTGTTTACTTATTCTTCCTACTCAGTGACTAGAGAACATAAATTGGTTTTTTTTTTGTGCATGTCTTAAATCCTCTTTGATCATGCTTCATGATAGTTTCCAAAATCTTTCTCCACATAAATCGAGCATCAAATCTTCAGGGATGGTACACATTTTCATGGTCGACACAAACCCATTTGTCAACAAGTATTTTACCAAGGCCAAGAAATTCAACTGGGAAGGGGTACTCCCCAGAAGCTTATACATTTATAACCTTCTAAGGGTCAGTATCACCTTAAGTTTTGATATTTATATGGTAATGTGATCCGGGTTTGCAAACATTACTAAGCCACAAATCCCTTTATTATATATCCTCAATAGGATCTAAATGCAAATTTGAGAGCATCAAATGCTACCTGGAAAATTGTCGTCGGACATCATCCAATAAGAAGCATTGGCAAACGAGGAGACACCCAAGAACTTGTGAAGCTCCTCCTCCCCATACTTCAGGTGCCCCCCTAAAATAAGCACTTGTAAGATA